ATAAATTGTGGAAATATAGTAGTAAGGCCAAAAAGTCAGATGGCTGCCATCCTTGACTAGATTTTGAAACAAATTGTCATGGGCATGCATCCTAACATGTATAACGTACATGTATGTGCCAAATTTGAATGAAAACTGACAAGATACCGCATAAAATCTTTGATCCAATTGCAAAATAAATTGTTATGGACATGTATCCTAACATGAATAATCTATGTACCAAGTTTGAATGACAACTGACAAAGCATGTCCAAAATACAACATTTTACAAAAAACAAGATGGCTGCCAGTCGGCCATTTTGAATTGAATCTCTAAAGTAAGCACATGCAAAGAATGAACAGAATCAGTCCACAGAATTCTGAAATATGACTCTGGACAGACTGATGCACGGACGGACGCACGGACGGACAGACAGAAACTCACAAACAGTCAGGGACATGTATCCTAACATGTATGATCTATGCTATGTACTAAAGCATGTCCAAAATACAACATTTTCAAAAAACAAGATGTCTGCCAGTCGACCATCTTTGATTCAATTGTGAAACAAATCATCATGGACATGTATCCTAACATGTATAATCTATGTACCAAGTTTGAATGAAAACTGACAAAGCATGTCCAAAATACGACTTTTTCAAAAAACAAAATGGCTGCCAGGCGGCCATTTTGAATCGAATCGCTAAACCACTGCATGTGCATAGGTCCCACATAAAGTACTAGGCACATACGAAGAATGAACGAAATTGGTTCAAAGGATTCTGAAATACGACTCAGCACGGATGCATGCACGGACGGACGGACGGACGGACGGATGGACGCACACACAGACAGTTGGAGGTCATGTATCCTAACATGTATAATCTATGTACCAAGTTTGAATGAAAACTGACAAAGCATATCCAAATGACTCCGACTCCGGACGGACACACGGACGGACGGACGGACGGACGGAGCAAATTATAAGTCCCCGTTTTCGGACTTTGTCCGAACGGGGACTAAAAATGTATTTTACACCTACTCCCTATGTCACTTGGAACAGATTGAATTTTCCCATGATGCAGTGCTACAAATGTGGCACTACATAGTTCAGTCACTGGACAAGTGGACAGAACTAGACACTAAGGTTTATCCCATACATAACTGGAACAAGTAAAATTGTCATTCGGACAACTTACTCCCTTGCCTTAACATAATAGTAATTATATATGTATATAGGCAACATACATTACATTTTGGATAAGTGAGTTTAAAAAGTTAACGTCAAGCTTTTACGTAAATCACATACATATGTACTCTACATCTATCAAATGACTTGTATCTAAGTTATTTCAGTTCTTATAATAGCAATTAATTATATGTCGTATTACCAGCAGCTTTCAAGTGAGACGTGCTATAACTGGTTGACAAATCTCTATCAGAGAGAAGCTGTCTGAATGTGATTTAGTTAGAGCGGATGTACATGTAGATTGGTGACTGGAATTAAAAGTTCATTGTAATGGATTCTCAACCTACAGCGGATTTTAATCAAGATTGGTTTGATACTGGCCCTTAAACCAAATAAATTTATAGTGTGTATTGCATTGTACATCATAGCCACAAAGCATGTCTGCAAATCTGTATGAATAATGCTGAAAGAGCCTTTTCCCCAAGGGCTGGCCACCAAATCTGGATATTGATGATTAAAATTTCAAGGATTATCCAAGCTTGGAAATGATCCAAAACAATACCTGCAAGTGTGTGTACATGTTTCCTAATGATGTATCTGGAATAGTTATTGTCTCAGTGCATTGCTAATATTTTATAATAGTCAAAAATGCCAGAAAACATGACCAGAATGAGAATTAAATAATTTTTCAAATTAAGGCAGTTTGACGAGAATATACTAGTATCCGAAGGATTTATTCATTCTAAAATTTATAAGATGCAGCTAGTCTGAGTCACCCAGTGTTCGGATGTGATGTCAATAATTTGAAACACGTTCAATGGTAATGACGTAGTTTACCCCAAATAAAGGGATTTAAACAATAAAATGAAGATGTATTGAACAGGTGCAAATACAGCTATTTATGGAGCGATAATTTTGTTTTCATTTTCTGTGGTAGATTTACAATAATATTAATTATTATACATCTGTCACTGTAATGCCATAAGTTACAGTGTGCCATAATTTTGGGTATTGCACTGGGTATTTTAATCCTACCATATTAGCGAATTCCAAATATGGAACGATTGCGCACGTAAGCGTGCTCTAACAATGAAAAGCAAACATGGCTGCCCCCAGAGTTTGACTGCTCAATCTGTTCTAAACTTTTTGTATTCCAGCATTCCCATGTTGTATCCTTGGGAGGAAAAGATGTATAATAATAAAGTTATTATGAGGATACCAAAAACTATACACTCAGACAGTACGCAGCCACATCGACCTCCGCTGCACGCCGGTCGATACTCCCGCTTTACTGTACTGTCTTCGTGCATACTTTTGGGTATCCTCATAATAACCTCATATTATAATTGAAAATGAAGACTCACTCTACACCACTTTAGCAAGTATTCCCATGAACAATGATAAGCTGAAACACTGCAGTCGTCATGCAGCGAGAATTCAAATTTCAAGTAAACATATATTTAAACTTATTTTACAAATGTAATTGTCACATAGGACCCACATTGAACAACGTGGCGCCATGACTGTGACGCTTTAATCATTCAGTTTCTATTTTCCGCAGGAGACTTTTATTTGCATTCTGACTCACCTGTCCAGTTTTGAAAGCTTCTATCATCTTCTTCACAGTAGACAATGTCAGAGGAAACTTTATGTGTGGCCCACTATATGACTCTTCTATACTAATGTTGCTGAAGTCTGTCAGTTTCTCCAGCTCTGCATCCTCTTCTTGCTGGTTTTGGGATGCTGGTTAAATATAATGGAAGGTATAAAAGGTATGGCCTGAGATCAAAACTAGCTTTTTTTTTCAAGAATCAAGAGAGATGATTATGCATGCATTATAAAGATAGGGAATTTCATTTGAAAATAGGCTATAAAGCACAAACAAGATGGCACACAAGTAAAGAATTTCTATATTTTAACCGCAAGATTGTGACAGGGGAAATGTCATACAAAGCTGTTATTGTCATAGCCTTTTGACGGAAGCCTCAAAAAAAGCAAACATTCGGACACACTGACAATTATTGAAATACCATGTGTACGTCACACAATAGTCTTCAATAATAATTGGAGGTGGATCGATACCTTGCTGATGTTGTTCCAGCATGTCGGGTTTTGTATTTAGCCTTTTTGTGTTAGACCCAAAATTTGTGTAACTGCGAAATATTGATGTAAAATAACTGAAGAAAACCTCCGAACAAGGCTGAAAAATACGACATTCTGGCACACTAAGCGTTGCCATGCAGTATACGCTGATAGATGGTGCAAATTCACATTGGCGACATGCATAGCATTGTCGATGGCGATATTTGCCCTACATAAACTCTTGAAATTTCTTTGAATGTTTTGGGTTTTTGAATCAATGTTTAATCAATTAGAATATTTTTCTGGGAACTTATTTGAAAATTCACTGTTTTTATTTTACGAATGACATGTATGTAAACCCCCCCCCCCCAAAAAAAAAACACACACATATACTGCCACTTTTCTACTCTTATTCTGAATTTATAGGGTGTACAACAAGGGTGCAGTATATATAGATTTTGTTTATGCTCACAGAAATGTAATAGCAAATTTATCATATTTTTAGGATGTTTTCATCTATATTTAGATGTGATGCCATTTTTATTAAAAATTATTTAAAATTTCAGACGATGAAAGTCGCTGTAATTTATTTAAGTGTTCGGAAATGTAAATGAAAGTACGGTAAAAATTGTCAAAATCGAACAGTAACTAATTTTTAGGGTCAAAGGTATGTGTATACTTTAAACCTGTCATCTCAAAGTGTGCAGTTAACAAATATTTTTGGACACTAAAACACGGGTATAATCATGTAAGGAACAGTGGAATTCTTCATCTTCATTATATGTTACTCATTAACTAAAACATTGACTAGCAAAAAGTGTTCTCATATATACATGTACAACATAATTGAACAGTTCATTACTGAAGGGGATGTGAAATATGCAAGGGATGGTGGGATATTGTACTGTCACGAAGGATAGGAAGGTGTTTGTGATTGCCATGCATTGTGATTCTTACGTTGAAATGCTGACTGCAAAGGGGATCCTGGCAAGTCCGTGACTGCAATCGTTTCAAGGAAGGAAGATTGAGAAAAGAGTTAGGAGAAAGAGGAGAGTATACTGTGTATTAAAGTCGTATTGAAGTGAGTTTATAGAGTTTGCAATGAAGGAGCTTCAAGTTCTTTAGATGCCAGGTCACTAATTGTAACTGTACTATTCCCTCATCAGTTTAAGAGCCATTTAATTGAGATACCGGCATGTGTAGTTTGCATAATTTGAACAAATTGCATAAACAAAATCAAAGAGCGTCAAGAAATGAGTAAGATTAATGCATACAAAAAATGGTGGCCAGTCAGCCATTTTTAATTAAAAAAATCTATCTCAGTAATCCACTATAAATGTCAAACAAAGTTTGAATGGTATCAGGAAATACGATGATATATTAACATTTTGTGCCTTTCGCGGACAAACAAATTTATCAGCCAGTAAAAATTGTCATGCATATTAAAGTCATGCCATCTCTGAAGTAAACTGGAAGAGGCATCTATGAGAATTGACATACAGTACTGTTTAAGTGTTCATCCAAGACTAGAAACCACAGCAAAAATCAGTGAACTTGAAACTCATCTCATTATTTGTTTTTAAACTTTTTATTCGCAATGCTAACATACTGGTAAGTGAATTTCGAAAGTATTTTTTGGACACCAGTTGTATAAATAGTTTCACTCTTTACCTTAAAATAATGATAACATAATGTAAGCATGTAACTCAATATTTTTGTAAACAAACAAACAAACAAACAAACAAACAAACAAACAATCATATACAATTATGATAATAAACATGTGTAGGTAATATATTTATATACTTGTATGGAGTGCACAAAAAGTGAAAGTGACTTGAATGTGAAACAAAATGTTTCATTATCAAAGCATGCATTGGGTGGAATGACAACAAATATAGAAAAAAACAAGCCATGCATGGCACAGTCCTCGTTAATACCTAGTTATCAAGCTATAATTTTGTTTATAGTAATATAGTTCAAACATGAACATGTCAGAGATATGGATCCAGAAGCTGATGCTTGATTATAGTGATTTTTTGACAATCAGTCATCTTGTATCTGGTCAAACGAGTACTTGTCCATATTGAAAGATATTGCTGTGGAACAGCATTAATTAAAACAAAATAGCCACCAGTTGTCCATTTTGAAT